GTCGTCGTCGTCGTCGTCGTAGTAGTAGTAGTAGTAGTAGTAGCAGTAGTATTCGTAGTCGTAGTCGTAGTAGTAGTTGTGGTAGCAGTAATAGTAGTAGAAGTAGCACCCGTATTCTTATTATTCGTATTTGGATCAGTGGTAGTAGTAGTAGTAGTAGTAGTAGTAGTAGTAGTCGCATTATTATATTTATTCTTGTTAGTATTAGTATTAGTAGTAGTAGTAATAGTAGTGATAGTAGTAGTAGTAGCAGTAGTGATAGTAGTAGTCGTAGTAGTAGTAGTAGTAGTAGTAGTAGTAGTAGTAGTAGTAGTAGTAGTAGTCGTAGTAGTCGTAGTAGTAGTGGTAGTAGTGGTAGTAGTACTACTAGTAGTAGTAGTAGTAGTAGTAGTAGAAGAAGTATATGAAACAGTGGCAGTCGTAGTCGTAGTCGTCGTCCTCGTAGTAGTAGTAGTAGTAGTTGTAGTAGTAGTAGTAGTAGTAGTAGTAGTAGTAGTAGTGGTAGTAATAGTCATTGGCGCAGTTCCCATCGATTTCTTATTGACAGCCAGACCTAATATTCAAGAATCCTGCTGGAGGCTGGTTGCCGCTTTCCGATTGAATTCTCGGAGAAACAGCAAATACATATACGTGACGGGGCTAATTATGAACCGGTTGCCGAAATGCGCCTTCTTTGGCAGGCACGTTCATCGGCATCATCGTCGTTGCATCGAGCGTGCTTTATAGCTTACTGTGCACACGAGAGCGCCCAGGCCACAGAGCGCCCAGTGCCCCAGCAGTTGCAGGAGGCGGAGCAGGTGGTGCAGGAGGAGGCGCAGGCGGAGGAGGCCGGTCATCCCCCCCGCGCCCAGCACGACGTCGACGGCGCCGCCCCTCTCGTTCGCCGACTTCCAGTCGCGCCTCGCCGGTTTCGGCTCGCCCAAGAACGCGTTTTTCGAGATGGACGACGGCCGCGCCCTTCGCCGCCGCTTCCCCCGCCGCCTCTGCGTTTGCGGGCGCGCGGCTGCGGCAGCTGCTGCACTGCTCGTGGCCTTCTCTGTGGCTGTCCCGTGGTTGTCTCTCGGGGGCGGCACAGAGGGTCAGCCCGAAGGCCCCCATGGACCTCCATTCCCAGCGTGGGGGTTGCCGGAGAGCATCGAAAAGCACGCGTGGAACCCTCCCCCCCGAACCCGAAATTTGTGTCTTCGGGTTCTGTTGGGGTGGTCTGGTAGGTAGTCAGAGGGGGGTGATGACCCAGGGGGGGATATCATGGCGGGGCCCTGATATCTCCCCTGGTCTCATGGCGCGTCTTCTTATGATTCAGTGCGCCCGCAGCCCTCCCCTTCTGGCGCCGCGCACGTGCCGCCGGCCATAATTTGCGCCCCCCCTCTCGGGCGCCCCCCTCTTGGACGCCCCCGAGCCTCGTGGTTGCCAGTGGTTGTCCCGCGGTTGTTCAGTGGTTGTCCCGTGGTTGTCTGGTGGTGGTCCCGTTGAGTCCATCTAGATTGGCAGTGGTAGCGGGCGACAGGGAGGCAAGTCCATATCGAGGTATAATATATGTATTCTGTGGATGGCAGTGACACTATATGGTATACAAGGAGACTGATCGGTCGGGATACCCAGTTGTATGTGGATATGTCGATGGAGCGATGCTAGTGAGGCCGATAACTATCGCGGCGATCGCTAGATACATAGATCGCGGATTCGATCGTGCGAGCCGCACATCGAAAATTGCACCCCCTCAACCTCCTCATCACCATTTTTTCTGTCTCTCTCTCTCTTTTCCCTCTCCCTCTGTCAGTCTACCCTTCCTTCCCTGTTCGGACATTATTGAATGTTCTTGGGCCCATCCTGCCACTGTGCCTGTGTTGTGGGTCTGAGGCCTCTTGGATGTTCGTCGGAATCTCGTCGAGGCCTCTCGGGGGTCTCCTGGAGGCAGTTTTGTGACCCCTGGGGGGCTGTTTTTTGATGCCTCTTTTGGGCCTCTTGGGGGCCTGTTGGGGCCTCGTGGGGTCCACTGGGTGGCCTCTTGGGGCCTCTTTGGGTGGCGTCTCCAGGGTGCCTAGTGGGCTGAAAGGTTTGGATTTTCTGTTCGTGTTCCCCCTCTTGGGGCCGTCTTGGTGCCCTCTTGGGCCGCCTTGGGTCTCTCTTGGGCCGCCTTGGGGCCTGCTTGGGCCGTCTTGGGGCCCTTTTGGGGAAGCGGTCTCGGGGGCCTCTTCTTGAAACAGGTCGGAGCGTCAGACGCTCGAACAGTGAAGAACACAAGACCATTGAAACACCTAAGGAACATCAAGGAGTTTGGCCTCTCGGGGTCTTCTTGGGAAGGCTCCCGGGGCGTCTCGGAGGCTTCCTGGGCCGTTTGGTGGGCATCTTGGGCGTCTTGGCGCGGCCTTGCGGCGATTCGGGGAGCCTTGGGCTGTCTGGGCGGCCTCGTGGGGCCCTTGTGTGTCTCTTTGTGTGTCTGCGTGCGTCTGTAAGTGTGTCTCGTGTGTGTGTGTGTGTGTGTCTGTGTGTGTGTGTGTCTCTGTGTGTGTCTGTGTGTGCCTGTAAGTGTGTGTGTGTGTGTGTCTCTCTGTGTGCGTCTCTGTGTGTGTGCCTCTGTGTGTCGCTGTGTGTCTCTCTGTGTGTCTCTCTGTGTGTGTTTGTGTGTGTGTGTCTCTCCTGGCGCGTCTCGGGGCCCCAGCGGGCTCGAACGAAGTCGCGCGACAAGACTCTTACGGTAGGTTTGCGTCGTGTCGACCAGCGGCGACCCCAGCGCGGACGTTCAAGGTTGAACGCCGCCGGCGACCCAGAATCGATCGATGTTGAACGATCGGACGTTGCGGCAGCGGCCGATCGTTCAAGGTTGAACGATCCCTGCGGTGTCAAAAACTAACGCTGGGGTCGGCACGACACGAACCTGCCGTACGCGCCCCAGGAGGCACGCACCACGCCCCGAGAGATGCGGCAGTTTGGGGCGCATGCTTCCAGAAGAGTCCTCAGGATTCGGGAGGAGGAAACACACACAGGCACAACTAATCGCCGATTGCCCAGAACATTTGGGAAATTATGGGCAGCGGGGGGCAGACAGAAACCCGGAACATATAGAATCATAAAGGGAATCCTTTGTATTTGTGTGAATTTATCTGTGCGTCCCAGAGCCCCTTCAAGGATTGAGGACTGAGGCTTGAGGGGTTAGGCCAAGAGCCCGAGGACACTTCAATGCGTGCCTGAAGGGCACGTTGGCGGTTATTCAGCATGAACACGCAGTGTACGTGCTGTAAATATCACAGGTGCATTTTTTTTTTCTCTCTCTCTCTCTATATATATATATAGATAGTATCGTCGTCATTCTGTCGTATTCACCCATCTCTCTCTCTCTCTTTCTCTGCATCTTACTGGTCTTTATATCCAGCCACACACTGCGCGTTGTGGGTTGGACTTGGACTCTCTCTCTCTCTCTCCCTCTCGCTCTCTAGCTTTCGCCTGTGCCTTCCTTGCTGTGGACGCTCGCGCTCTTCCCTCTCCGATGTGCACGCGTGCCCACCGTCTTCGCGCGCCTGCGACCCCGAGAGAGACGGCCGGCCGCCAGATGACGATGGCTCGCTGAGCAAGCAGGAGACGTTCCCGGGGTTGACGCGTCCACTGGGCTCCAGGCCTCTAGGCCTCCAGGCCTCCCACATGGGGTCCGAGCAGAGGGGGTCGAGGGATCGCTCCGCATCGCCGATGCGGCTCGATGTTCAGAGGAGGAACAGGTACCCATACCGCTACCCTTCGCGCCCGTTTTCCTCTCGTTCGGCCTCCTGGGAGGCCTTTGTCGCCACCGCTGGAGTCGCCTCGAAATCCTGGTCAGAACGCACCCCAGGAGAGGTCCGTGGAGTAGCGGTATCGGTGCACTTTGGTCTCCCCAGGTGTGGATCCCAATTGTCTTCACGTCGATGTCGCCGATCCCTCGCCGATGCACCGTAGATGCGGCAAGATCCTCTGACACCGTCTGCTCGGATCCCATTTGGGAGGCTTGGTAGTCTCGGAGAAGAGCGCGGGTAGTCCAGATGAGATGGGGGAAGCGGGAAGGGAAGGAGGAAGGGGGGGCTGGAAACGTTTGCGTCCGCCCCTGTCTCGCAATTTCTTGCTAGAGCCATTCTAGAGCCATCGCTTGGGACGAGGCTGTCCAGGCGCTGGCCCAACGTTTGCCGTTCGCGTGATCTAGCATGCGGCCGTCATCTTAATGTATGAGGTCCCAACATATACACCACCACCACCTCCCTCACCCCCTCCCTCCCCCAGGAAAGAGGGGGGGAAGAAGAGGAAGGACGAGGGCGGGGGATCGGAGGTGGTGGTGGTGTATGATGGCCTCGGCTCCAGGGAAAGGTCCAAATAGAATGGAATGGGGGTGGGAGGCGAGAGAATGAGGACTCTGGGCCTCCTCCTTGCTTCCCTCTGCCTCCAAGCGACGCATCAATCATCCAGCAGAGCTACGGGGGTGAGCCGCAGGGGCTGTGGACCACCTCTCGGGGGGGAGGTTCTCTGGGCCTCGACGTTTTGTTCTGCGCGGGCGGTGTGGATCGTGCTGCTGCCAAGATGTCGCGGGGATCCGACCCGGAGCAGAGTATGCCTTGATACTGTACACAGAAAAGGCATAAGCATGAACGTTCGGAGTTCCGCGCGACAGGCGCGGGACCCCTGCTCGTCGAGTCGAGCCATACTTTTCTGCTTTTCCCCCCTTGCCCTGCCCGCGTAAATACCTCGTCCTATTTGTTCACTATCTGGGAACCTGCGACCCCCCCCTCCGAAACAGGACCCCTTCGGACCCCCCTCCGAAACAGGCCCCCTCCGAACCCCCTGCCCCAGGGGCCCCGTGGACGCCCCACGCAGGAGGTCCCCCCCATCGCGCAGCCCAGGCTTGGGCCCCAACTTCCTGGTCCGCTCGAACGCCCCACGAGGCCTGGGATAAGGGGGTCGACGCGTGCCCTGCTGCGCAGCCCCTCCTGGCACCGCTGGAGCCCCGCCGCGCGGGGGGCGCCGCGCGCTGCCCCGCCCAGGAGCTCCTGGCCCACGCGGGCTCCTTCGGCCCGCCGCTCTCCGAGCAGCAGGCGGCGTGGGCGGCCCCGGGAGGACCCCAGACGTGCTCGCGTCGCGACAAAAAAGCACCAGGGGAGGCTTTTGTTCATTTTCGGCCTCTGGGGGCCCTTACCTCGGGGCCCTTCCCTCGTTTTCCCCTTCTCGGGCCTCCTGGGCGGCCCCCTCGTCGCCACCGCCGGATTTGCCTCGAAATTCTGGTCAAAACGCACCCTAGAAGAGGTTTGGGGAGTGGCGGTGTCAGTACCTCTTGGTTTCTCCATTTTCGTCCTCCGGGGGCCCTCACCGGGCCCTGGACCCTCAAAACACGACTCGGGATGAAACGCCGGCCCTGGGGAAAAGAGCATTATTCCTGGCGTCGGCTTTCTGGTCTCGGGAGGCCTTCCAGCGGTCGCGCCTCGCCGAGGGCGTTCTGATGATGCGAGCGGCCGCCCTGGATGGAGCCCCGAGGCATGGACCGAAAACCGGGTGAGCTTTCGCCGGAGTGGCCTCGAGTGCGCGGTTTTCGGGGGTCGCCTGGGGGGGGGGCAAGCTCGAGCACGCAGGCCGCAGGCAAACCTCAGGGGCAACATTCGGGGGGGATAGGCTCAGGGGTACGCATCGACCCCCACTCGCCCATACATCGCCGATAGAGGCGCCATAGCCCATCCCCGCCCAGGAACACGCGGATTCGCTATCGGGGGCCTCATCGGAGATCGCCGACATCTTAGCGACGTGTCGCCGACTCGAGCTCAGTGGGTCAGTGTCCCCCTGACGTTGCGCCTCACCTGAGGGGTGGAGAGGGAGGGCGGGCCACTTCGAGGGCGAGGTTGGAGGGATGCGCCACTGTTGGAGGCGGCCGAGGTGGCACGGTGCGCGCTTCTGCGTGAGCGGCGGGCTGCGTCGGCAACGCAGCGGGTGGCACACTGATGCGGCTTCGGCTGTGCAGCATCTCTCCGTTTTGCGACCGGATTGTGTGGGCAGAGTCGTGAGCGAAGTCGTGAGTGGAGTGAGTGGTGAGAAAAGTCGTGAGGTAAACGCGCCTTGGTTGGCCGAAGTCGTGTGATCCTCCGTTCTGGTCGGGAAAACCGAGGGTGGACTGAGTTCGGCATTCGTGGGACTGCCTCTGCATCGGCGTGGGGTCTGGCAACAAGGTCGAATAATGTTAGGTGCGTCACATAAGCGTCGTGGCAACATCTGGTCCAGCCCCTCGAGGTATGCAGAAAGAGCCGTTCACGTATGGAGGCGGGAGGCAGGTAGGGAGGGAGGGAGGGAAGACAGGGCGGATGATGAGGGTAATATGCAGGATGATAGGGTGAACGACCACGCCGATGGCCGCGCCACAACGTCTTGTCTTTAATCTGGAGAGCTAGGATGAGGCAGAGGGGGAACAGGTTGAAGCTTCCAGGAGGAGGGAGAGGGGAGGAGGGAGTTTTTGAGGAAAGGAGGAGGATGGAGGATCGAGGGAGGAACACATGATCACCGTTTCGAACATGGTGGCGTTTTCAATGCCAGGGCTCGCTATTTTCAGCTAGTATTTTCTATGTGACTTCCATCCACGGTTTCGCCTTCTTTCAAAACGTCTTTTCCACCCTTGTCTTTCATCACTTGGCGTCTTTCAGAATTGCTCCATGGTTTCGTTGCGTTTCGACCAATGTTACGGATTTGCCGTGTATCTCAACCCCACTCCCTCTCTCTCTCTCTCTCTCTCTTTTCCTTCTCTCTCTGTCGCTCCCTCTCTTTATGTATAGCTTTCTTTTTTTTGTTCTCTCTCTCTCTCTCGGGATTTATGCATAGCGGGATGTATGTATATTTCAAATGGCCTGCGGCCCATCCCGCCACCGTGCCTGGGTAGTGGTCCCGAGTCCGCAAATATACTTTTTGGGGTTTCTTGGAGCACTCTGGGGCCAGTTTTGGGGCTTCTTTGGAAGCCTTTGGGGAGCCTCTTGGCAGCCTCGTGGGGGCCTCTTAGGGTTTCCTGAGGGCCTCTTGGGGCCTATTAGGGGCTTTTTTGGGGGGCTCTCAGCGTTGGGGCCTCTGTGGCTGTCTTGTGGCCGAGGGCACGGTGGCGGATATACAGAGGAGAGAGTGATAGAGAGAGAGGAACACAACGAGAGAACGAGATATAGAGAGAGAGAGAGAGATAACACATACACATATATATATATATATATGTGTATATACACATATATATATATATATAGAGAGAGAGAGAGAGAGAGAGAGAGAGAGAGAGAGAGAGAGAGAGAAAGAGGAGAGAGAGAGAGAGGAGGAGAGAGAGAGAGAGAGAGAGAGAGAGAGAGAGAAAGGGAGAGAGAGAGAGAGAGAGAGAGAAAGATCACCAACAAAGGTAGGTGGGGAGGGAGGGAGGGAGGAGGAGCAGGAGGTGGACGAGCAGGAGGAAGCGAACAAAAGAGGCGGCGGGCCGCAGGCCCTGGACGCACTCGCAGGGCTGGACGACGACGGCGACGGCGGCGTCTCCTC